AGAAATTCAATTTAAAACAAAACCAATGACTCTGATACCACTGATGGGTTTTAGGTAAAACAAATAAACTAGAAAAACAATTCCTAAGTTCACATGCAACCTACTTTGGATTTATGTTTTAACTATTGAACATATAACTTTGAATTGCAAAACAAGAACCCTAAGGGAAGAAGCTATTTTCGAAAATAACTAGAAAGGGTTTAAAAATTACATACCTTTCAATTGTTAAAGTAAACAATTGATAATCCTTATATCTTGATCTTCTTGGAAGCCTAGCACCACAATTGTCGTGCCTCTAATGGAATCACACCCAAGAGCTAGCAAGAAAGAAACTATAGAGAGAGGAGATGAGGGATGCAATTTTTGGCCAGGGTTTCTCCAAGAGTAGGGATGGCCGAAATTAGGAGCTAGAAGGCTCTTTAAATAGTCAAGGTAACTTAGCCCCAAAGCTAGGGTATATGGGATAACCCTAAGATTCCCCTGCTTAGGGCCTAAGCAAATCCAGAAGCCTTATCCAAGGCCCTTGGACGAATTCATTAGGGTTTCCCCTATAAATTTCGTCCACCTCCTCCAAGGAGGTTCTGGAACATTCCTTCCAACTATTTATTAATTGCAAACTAGTCTCTGTACTTTACAATTAATACAATTAACCCCAAAATTAATTCTAATTAATTTCTGGCTAACTATTAAATAAATATTATGATTTCTAATTAATATATTATTTAATAACACATTAATAAATCATTTATATTAATTTATTAATCTTATAATAAATTAATTTCTCCCCTTTCATAATTTCCTTGTCCAATTGCTAGGTTTGAGGGCAACCCAAAAGGACTGTGTTGCTTTCAATTAAAGTACATACCAATTATAGTTATGGACTTAGACACCTAATCCAACAATGTGTAACATCCGGGACCCTAAGGTACTAAATTCATTCATTTATTACATTTTGGGGATCCTCACGACGTGAGATCTTGGGGGTTACGTCGTGAGTGACCGTTGACCCGTATTTTGGAGTCTCACGACGTGATACATAGAGTCTCACGATGTGAGAGCAACTTAATGACCCCAAACCCTAATTTTCGGGTATTTAATGGAATGAGAGGCTAGGGTTACCCATCCTCAGCCTCTCTCACCCTCTATGCCTCTGGAAACCCTAGATTTGGATTCACCTTTAGATATTTGGTGTTTTTGCTTGTGGAAAGGAAGGAAAATGAGAGAAAAAGAAGAAGAATCCAGGGAAGGAAGATGATTGGGATCATCATCTTCATCAGATCTCATCTTGTTTGGAACATTGTATGTATCAAGACTTAAGCTTTAATCCATTTCATGGCTAGATCTAGGCTTTTGTCCCATTTTCTTATGTTTTGGCTTAATTGGATTGGAGTAGATCCATAAAGTTAGCAACTTTATGGATTCAAATGGCCTTTTGAGTCTTGTATCTTTCAGATCCGGAAGTTGGTGTAGTATTAGAGGTTTGCATGTGAGTTTGAGACCAATTTGCTACTTTTGATCCACAAGGATGGAGAGACATGTATGGTGCATGCATGTCCATAAAACAAGCATTTTTATGGACCATTAGGGTCCCCGTTAGCTTTTGGAAGGGTTGGAATTGAGGGTTGAATGGATTAAGAGCGTTGAAAAGGTGGTTTTGGCCTCAGACCGTCCTCACGACGTGAGACATAAGGTCTCACGACGTGAGCATGAGTCACCGTCCCCGCTGAGTCGTCTGAGTCAGAAGTGAGTCCCGGAATCGGAACTGAAACGTCTCACGACGTGACCAAGGACTGGTCATGACGTGAGAAGCTATTTTGGGCTTTTTCGGCCTTAATGGGCCACTAGTTTTCTGACCTTGGGCCATTGCTAGGCTATGAGCCTTCTTGGATTTAAGCCTATGATGGGTTTTGGTCCCATTTGGGAAATTAGGCCACATTGGTCTTTGAGATTCCATTTAGAAATTTGGGCTTTTTGAGCAAATAGGTTGGGCCTTGGTTTTTGGGCCAAGTAGGAAAAAGGTTAAAATGATCTTTTACCCTGGATGTTGGACAAGTGATCTAGATACTTGATTATGGGTTAAGACCCAATTATTAATTGGGTATTATTGATGATGTTAGCATGGGGATTTTCCGGATCAGTAGCCCTATCTTTATCTGAGATATTCGACAACTTGAGGTGAGTTTCCTCCCTGTGTTTGGCTGGTCGAAGGCACCAATGCTGGCCCATGGTTTATTGTGATTAGCATGCTAGTTGTCTGCGTGACTCTGCATGTATGTTTTTTGTTATGTTTACTAGGCGGGGCCTGATGACTATCTTGTATGCTATTTATCTTTGTGATAGTTGCATGTGTTTATGTGTTTGTATGTATACCGGGCATGGCCCGATGACGGGCGGGGCCCATTATTTACTGATAGATCTGTTCCGAGCGGGGCCCGATGACTATGTGTTTATTATGTATGGTATGTGGTATCTTGAGAACTCACTAAGCTTTGTGCTTTCGGTTTTCAGTTTGTGTTTCAGGTACTTCCGGATCCAAGGGGAAGAGCTCAGGGTGATCGCATCGCACACACCATGATGTTCCGTATTTTACCTTACTCTGATGTATTTGGATGTTTTGATCATAATTAATTTTATTATGGTTTATGGATATGTTTCGAAGGATGGTTTTTTTATTATAATTAAAAATGAAAATTTTGGCCTTAATTTTTGGGATGTTACAATATGAGTTTTGGTCTTTAAGGTATAAGCTCTTAATGAAGAAAAATCTTTTTGACTAAAACCAAGACGTGATGGCGCGCTACAACGTGTCTGTTTTGTCTGGACGTAACCACGACGTGGCAAAGGAATTGCCACAATGTGGGTGTCATCTGAGTTGACTTTGGCCATTGACTTTTTGATTAGTTTTCCTTTTGGTTAAACTGGGGTAGAATTGAGTATTTGACTAAGAAATGGTCTCGGTTTGGCCCTAGGAAGCTTGGGTTGGCTGTCTGTTGCTGAGGTAGTTCTTGAGCTTCTCTTGAGTAGTTTAGGTGTGTCTTCTCACTATACTATGTAGGTTGCTAGTTATCATTGTGATACTTGTATGGAAGACCATGGGGGTAGCCCATGACAGTTATATGAAAGACCATATGGGTAGCCCATGACACTTGGATGTAAGAACATGGGGGTAGCCTATCACATTTCTGGGGAAGACCATGTGGGTAGCCCATGACACTTGGATGTAAGACCATGGGAGTAGCCCATGACACTAGGATGTAAGACCATGGGGGTAGCCCATGATATTCCAGGGAAAGACCATGGAGGTAGCCCATGAGAATGTATGTTTGGTATGTGGTATTTTGAAACTCGCTAAATTTTATGCTTACGGTTTATGTTTAAAATGTTTAAGGTTTTCTTATACTGAAGGAAGGACACAGTTTGATTGCATCGCATCCATTGGAGGTTTCCACACTTGATAACTCTTACGTCGATACTCTAATAAATGTTTTTGAATCAACTGGTTTTATTAGATATTTGATGTTGTAATTGGAACAAATGCTTTTATTTTTAAATGAAAATTTTGGTTCGAAATTTTGAGACGTTAAAGTAAATAAGTAATTATGGATCATATTCTAATAAGGAGTTGAAATAAGCAGTTAGAAACCAACTTATTAAAAGTTTATTAAAATAAGTGTTTATAAGTTTTACTTATCCAAACACTAAAATGTGTTGGTGCCAAACTAGTATAAACGAATTAGTGGCTTAAACAAACAATTCCAAACACACCGTGACTCCTAAATTGATTAAATATACTTAATGGATAATAACTTGTTTGTAGATAAAGTGATGTTGAATTTTTTTTTGACCGAATGAAATGTGAGTAAATTACTAATTTATCCTTATAATTAACATTGACACCTGAATAACAATTAACAATTACCAATATTTAATAATTTTAAATCAAAACTGTACCATTATCAAATTAAATATATTGTTTTTTTAAATAAATTGATTAGTAATAATTAAAAAAGTTTTAAAATAATTTCAAATAATAAAATTAAATACAAATATTTGTTGAGAGAGAGAGGAATTATTTTATGGAACTATGATGTAATTATGAAAAAATAAATATGAAATCAATACTTAATTAGTGTTAAGACCGGTGGGTATGAGTTACGCTATCGATAATATTTTTTGCCACATCACCAACCAAACTAGGGGTGAGCGTAGTGCGGTTCGGTGCGATTATTAGCCAAAACCTCACCACTAACAGCAAATGCGGTTAATCCATTTTCAAAACCGTTTGGTGCGGTTATTTTTGCGGTGCGGTTATTTTTGCTGTGCGATTTTGTTTTTTTTGTGTTGCGGTTATTAACCACACTGATTTGGTGCGGTTATTTTGTGTGGTTTTTAACCACATTTTAGAGCTCAAACGGTTTTAAGAGTTCAAACATATTACTTGTAATAATAAAAAAAATCATAAGGTATAAGACAATTAACTTAAATCACAAACAACTAATATTTTAAAAACGTCAAATCAATAGTAATTAACAATAAATATCTTAAAATTGTCTAATTTCATCATTTTTCAAAGTTAAACATAATAAAAACCAACACTTTTGTTCTAGTATTTTATCCATATTTCATCTATGAAACTTGTCTTATTTTTAATATTTAATATATTAATAATTAATAAAAAAAATTGTATATAATATTTGCAGTGAGGTGCGGTTTTTTTGTGGTTTTTGAAAACCAATAACCGCACCGCCCCGCAAATTTGCGGTTTTTGAAAAACAGAAAACTTCACCATCGGTTTTTATTGCGGTTGCAGTTTATACGGTTAATTTTACTTGCGCTACGGTTTTTGCTCACACCTACCTACCATGACATTATCCATATCATTCTGTTGTATTTAAAAAATGGGCATACACCCACCAATTTAGTCATAAATCTACACCTTCAAGCAAAAAATAAATAAATAAATAAATAAATAAATAAACTTGAAAAAAAATAAGTTAATATGGATCATTATCCAACTAAAAACAAATCAGCAAAAACAAATGTATAGTTGTGCGATGTTCATTCAATTTAACTTAAACCACAATAAACACCAATAAATACGTTAAATTAATGTTTTAACAAAACGGTTATGCGCGATTAAAACACAATTAATAAACATAATTAATTCCATCTAATGCTTCATTACTTTTCCATCATACATTTGCAAGTGGTCCAATTCCAGTCGCATTTGAACGCTTCTTAATCCTGAGTCTCTTGCATGTTTCGGTAAACATTCTGCAATTACCAATTATATTTTATCATTAGGATCTTCACTCAATCAAAAATATTGTGACAAATAACATGCTAAAAGAATCACTTTGCGGTATTATAATATGTAGCTCGATAATCCATTAAGAATGTACGTATTTCAGAATCGATGTTTAAGAGTCTGTTAT